CCTTCCTTCCTTCCTTCCTTCCTTCCTTCCTTCTCACTTTCACTATTTTGTCTTCAAGTCTTGTTCACACTTTAGGCAGCATGTCGACTAATCTAGTGCCATTGACACTTTGCATCTGTACATGAGTTTTTATGATATTTCAAGAAAACTTAAGAGAAATTGAATAAGACCCTCCAGATAGTTTTTTAAATTTACCAAGTTGTTGTTGTTTTTTAAAAAAAAGACTTTATAATCATAGAATTATAGAGTCAGAGAAGTCTTAGACCAAAACTTTGATTTTTATAGTTGAAGAGTCTCTTTTACAGGGAAGGTGCCTGGCTTGTCTGAGGTCAGACGGAGGCCAGAGCCCAGCTCACTGTTTTTGTTCCCTAGCTCCTTGCTTGTTGAAAAAAAAACTTTAAGCTATTCTGTCACGTCTAGATCCTCAAACTGGAGTTTTTCATATTTATGCATCTCTTAAATAGCGGGAAGTCTTTTTCCACATGGAACAATAGAGAACACAAAGGAAAAATCCACCGAACAGCATTGATGTTCCTCATTGTTCAAGCACTTGAGTGAGCTTTTTATGTCTTTCTTCCCACCTCCTTTTATACCTCTTCCTAACAATGATAAGTAAGACGAGTGTTCAGACTGGGATACTAGTTCCCTTAAAAGAGTCGAATCTTTAATTGTGTTGTGACAATCCACCCTCCCATGTCTGTCCCTCGGTGTTGCAGCTGCTGGATGACAGCTCGTCCCGTCTGAAAACGGCCCGCCCGGCCAGAACCCTGTTCACCCCGGAGGGACAGCCAATTCTGTCCTGGGACGACATAGAGCGAGACGCGGTCATCTGTGTGTCCACGGGCCACGGCTTTACAACCCACAAAGGTACGGGGACAGTTTCTTTCCCACCAAGTTGCTGAAGAATTAAAGCTTCCAGTCTCTTCCTCAAGGGCCTTCTCCTCTCCACTTTCTAGTTCCTGTTACTGAATTTAAATTCACATCTTCATGTGCTGGAACCTCGCTGCTGACACTGTTTGCTCTAAAGAATTCCAAGTTAAAAAAGGAAAAAGAATTCAAAGTTCTGTTACTCTTGTGCCTTATCCAAGGGGCTTATTTGCAGAAATTGTAAAGGGCCTAATTTGAAGGTATTTCCTTAGCGTGAAACCCGAGGAAGGTGAGGCTCACCGACTTCCTACTTTTCAAGTCATTTAAAACTTGGTGTTCTATTAATAGCAATACTCAGTTTGCAGATTTCCTTTCTTTAGGGATAAGTAAATATGTGCTTGTTTTATCATCTTGTCTGTTCTGCTATAACTTTCTTTGATAAATGATAGCTGTGGAAAAAGAACGTGTATTTGTTTTTAAACCAACTGTTGTCCTTTATCCTACTTATCCTGAGGAATTTAAAGCCTTTTTGGTGGGTAGGCACGTATCTGCAAAGACATAATTTTTAGGAAATTCTGAAGAACATTGGTATCATTTTAAAGGAAATTAAAAGATTAGGAAGTGAATTACCTGGGATTCCTAAAATAATAAAGCTAGATGGTTTCTTTTAAAAAGTCACCATAAAATGATTATTTGCTCTAAATGATTATTTATATAATAATAAATACGTACTTTTATATATAAGGTACGTAAACCAAAAACTTTTCAAACTGTTTCAATCATATCTTTACATTTAGTCCAGAAGGGACAGAACATAGGCATGAAGACTAAAGAGTAGGGAGACAGGATTTTATTGGGGCGCCCTGCACTGTTTGGGGGAATGCTACAACGGTTCCTCTAGCACCTCCCCATATTCAGGAAGAGGCTCCCATCTTGTATTCTTTGAACTCTGTTGTCCCTGTCGCTCACCCTTACCCAGACTCCAGCTCCTGCTACCCTCACGATGGGGTTCCTTAGAGGAGCACCCCAGTGATGGGCTGCTTATCAGTATTAGCTGACAGCTCTCTGTGTTCCCAAAGTGCACAGCCTATAAAAGAAACCTTCCAGGGGTCCTTCCCTGAAAGAGTTTTCAACCTAAGTATATAAACATACTTGAAATCTTACAGCACAAGTGAGGTGTAGGAGGTACTTCCTGAGTCCCTTCATTATTTATGCCTAATCTTTCCTACTCTCGGGTTGGCCTTCTGTCGCCCGGACCTCACCCTGGCCTCACTGCGTTCATTGGGCCTTTCTGATAAATAAAGCTAAGTACGCTTCCGTCCACCTAGCCAAAAGGGTCTCCAAAATGCAGTGAGAAATGTAGGCTGCTTTCCCAGAGGCGGGCTCCTTACCAATACAAACTGTGAAGGGAAGAGAGAAAATTGGAAATGCAAATAGCACTCTCCCTACCACTTTCCTCCCGGTTAGCTCTGTGAACCTGGGACCAGGCCATGTGGACGAACGTTCGTTTCTGCATCTTCAATTTTGTAACCGCGTGGATGACTGTGATGTGAAAACTGATTCTTTTCTTAGGAAAGTAGGCCCCCATCGTACCTTCATATGGTGGAAGGGCTAGTGTTTTCTGCAATTATCTGGGTTCTTTCCAGTAAGTGATGTATGTTCTAAAAAATCTGATTTGTGGCAGACTTTTAATTTAGTTGTTCCATAGAAATGTATTTTACTCTGAGTGCCATCTCATTGTTTTCTGAAATAATTAACTTAGAAATAATTATTTAGTAGGAATCTAAATATTCAGATTGTTTAAAAAGAGAGAGAAATGCTACTAGCAAGTATGTATTTATTAAGGGACATTTAATTAATCATTTCACTCATAATTTTTCTGTGACTTCCTGGTTTATCTGTAGTAGAAAATAAGACAGCCTGGGAGTTTCAAAACTAAATACTTTGAAATAATTTATTTTATGTACTATAATTTAAAAACATTTAGCATGTGGAGGTTAATCATCAAAGAATCACATTAGGCTTTTGAAAAATGAATTTGTTTTGGCAAAACAAACCAGATGCTGTTAGAATGGTTTCTTTCACACAAACCCCTAACAAAATTAAAGGAGTTCTTTATGCCAGTTGTCTTGAGATCCGAACGCTGTTCTCACTGCTGTGTTTACGATCTTTTCAGTAGGTTCCATTTTTAGGCCACTCCTAGGTTAGCTTTCAATTCAGGCTTTATACCACGCCTGGAAGGAAGCCCTCTCAAGCAACTGCCACTCTGTAGCAATCCCAGGAATGTTAACACACATCTGATGTGATAAGCAAGTCAAGTGTGCAGGGGGAGAGTGGGGCGTGGGAGCCAAGGTTTTCTGAGGCAACTTCGCGTGTTTCATTATCCTGGACTTTTTATTATTTTCCATAGATACATTAAACTGTCTCTCAAAATCTTTTTTTTTTTTTTTAAACAGAGTTAAAACAACTGATGGAGATCAGAGCAAATTATGCCAGAATCCGGAGGCAGCAGGGCCCTGAAGCCACAGACATCGTGGTGCGTCCACCCGAGAGGCTGCAGTCTCTGGTGCATGGACACAATTTCTAGCGGAGCCGTTGTATTTTGTGCTGTATTTTGCTGGTATAACCTACATGTATGTCTACTAATATACTTGCTATGATGTGATTATTATTCATCGTTTTTAATTTTTAAAAAAAATTCTCACCTGAGGATATGTTGTTATTGATTTTTAGAGAGAGAGAGAAAAACATTGATGTGAGAGAGAAACATCTATTGATGGCTTCCCATACGCACCCCAACCAGGGTTTGAACCTGCAACATGGGCATGTGCCCTGACTGGGGATCAAACCGGCTACTTTTTGGTGTAGACGATGACACTCCAACCAACTGAGCCACTCGGTCAGGGCCATCCTTTTTAGTTTTATGCTGACTCTTTAAAAAGTTATTACCTTCACAGTTTACATAGAGCCTCATTTAATGCCTCAAATCTATTCCTGGAAAGGCAACAAGTCTAGACAAAGCAAGGCCAATAAAATAACTATGTTAAGTATATTTTCTTCTGGGAAGAAAAAAAGGAAAGAAAACTACTAGTTATTATTAAAAAATAATTTAGTGGTGTCAAGTTATGTATATATTTAAATAATAAAATAGGCTCTTTGACCACCTAACATTAAATTTGACCCAGACTGACATTTTTCTGGCTCAGCCACTGTTATTTTCCAGATCTCCATGTTAAAACCCTACATACACTGAATGAAGGGGAAATGGCTGGCAGCCACCGAATGCCACATGAGTCGATCTTTCCTCCTTCAGTTTCCCCTCGCTGTGGCCTATAGGAACAGTGCAGAGCTATATAGGGCACAGCTAGATGTGCTTCATAGGAGTGAAGCTGGATAATTCCAGCCATAAGCTCAGTAACCAAAGGTCTCAGACCGTGTCCTCAACACAGAAACTCTGGGAGAGGATATCTGCGCCATTTGAAGAAAAAGTCATGTAATGTTTTTGTGTGTGTTTTTATAAAGGGATCATGGGAGATTCCTAGCAATCTTAGGTGTCAGTTTTTTCCTGCATTGAAGAAAGAATCATTTAAAAAAAAAAAAAGCAGTGACAAATCAGAGTTTGGTTTCCGGTCTGGGTGGAAAATTTCCAAGAAATGCTCTTTTTCCCTCTCTTCCTCTGAAAGCCACTCACAGCTCGGTGTGAATATAAATTGCAACCTGGCTAGGTGTGTACAGAATGGCTCGGCTGGGCTCACTCCCCGGCCTGCCACCTTAATGGGATGCAGGGAGGCAGTAGATCATTCCCGCTGAAGGGGGCTCTCGGTAATCGCTGCAGAAGGCCCCGTATTTACTCCCAGGCTTCAAATCAGCGGGGCTGCACGAGTAAATCCCTGCTGCCTCCAAGCCTGCTAAAAGCAGGGCACGTCGAGGTGAAATTTCACGTCACATCCACAGCAACCTGCCCTTTTGCAGACAGTTTCTCTACAGACAGGACGATGTTTAGAGGTGGGAAGGCATTCAGAACAGCTCTGTGTGCATGCAAGGAAAAGATTGCATTTTGTTTTGCTCTTTTTTTTTTTTTTAACAAGAAAGGTTAAAGAACATGCTCCTGGTTATGAAGTGGGCCAACGGGATTCTTTTTTTTTTTTTTTTTTTTTTTTTTTTAATTAAAAAATTTTTTTCAATTGCAGTTTACATTCAGTATTATTTTATGTTAGCTTCAGGTGTACAGCACAAGGCCAACAGGATTCTTAACCGGCTGGGCCTCTCCTTAGAATGACAGGATCACCATCCCCATAGACACAGAGCATTTTATGTTTTTTCAAAATATCCTGAAAACAAGACATTTCTCTGAGCGCAGAAGTACCTATCATTTTGCCGCCACGGATAAGTTGATTTGCTATGAAAATGGCATAATTTCACCCTGGATCAAATGTGCAAATTCCTGTGGAGTCCTCACCGTTGCACGTGAACAGGCCTGAAGCGAAAATTGGTAATATCACACAATGCGCATCGAGCACCAGGAGACATAAGGCAAAACTCCGAACTCAACTTTTCTATTACTGGTAAATGGGATTTTAGATGTAATATAACAGTCATCAACACATCACATCTTACCAGCAAGGCGGCGGTGCTGACTTCGTTGACGACGGCTTGCCCAGGGTATGTTGGCAGTTCATAGCCACTTTTAACTTAGACTGAGGCAGCCCTGCTCTTTCCTTATTATTGACCCTCCTCTGGTTGGCTGGAAGGTGGACTGGGGAGCAGTTACTCCACCTTCAGCAAGGACTATAGGACAAGACTATTGCAATTCTGTTCAGCCCTCCTAGGCTTTTAATAAACCCAGTAATTTCCTTTGGGGACATGGTTATCACATTTGAATCAGCCTCGTATGTATAAGTCACATTTCAATATTTTTCTATCAACTGGAAACCATTTATTATTAAATACTATAGCAACCATCCTCAAGTCCATGGCTTTCTTCAGAAATATATTTCTTGCTGGTTCACAAACACCCTTAAAGCGATCCAGATGTTGAACAGCGTGGCAGCATTTGTGATTGTCCTCGGGTAAAGGACTTTTCTAGATATTTCTGCCCCACCGCTAGCTTTGGTTGCCTGATTAAGTGTTGGAGTGAAGTTGTATGTTTCTACACAAGCTAACTAAAAGCAATATGCCTGAAAGTTTGATGGGCATTCTGAGATTAACCGACAGCATTTATAAACAAGGAGCATTTTATCTGGGTGTTTACATCAGCTTTATAAAGCAGGATACCTCAGTAATGATTCAAAATGCAGAAGTAGTTTCTTAGAGCAATAATCCTGAATTTCCTTTTTTTTTTTCTTAATTCATAAAAACCAAATATTTTTTATGGGTCAAGAGAACAAAGCAATAAACAAACAACAAATGGTATAGATAAATCTGTTCTCTTTCAAGAGAAAATCACTTAGAGATTGTGGCCAATAGATGTGCAGCATTTGTGAGCTAACCTTTAATAATAGCCCAGGTGTGCTGAATGTCACTGAGATTTGTGATTCACTGAGGCAGCACATTTTTTCTGGCATTATTTGGAAGAGAGCAAGCAAAACCCACAGGTCTACGTTATTCGAGGACATTACAAAATCAGATGCAAATATCTTCAGTCAAGTGGAATTTGGACCCAGTGGCCCTCCTCAGTGGTTTTTATTACACCAGTGTTTCCAGTTCCCTCCTGCTTCTGAGCACATCTCAACCCCTCCTCAGGCCAGGTAAGCTGAAAGAACGAGCAGCAGTTTTGTTCTCAACACAATAAACTAGAATTTGGCATAAATGGCATTGGTTGGGGCTGCTTGGTCAGAAACAACTGCAGAGCAAGATCAACAAAAACCACTCAGGGGAGGGCTGATGAGAGTAAATGGACCGGCTGCCAACAGTGATGTTCAGTGGGTGCCTGCTGCCAGCCACAGTATTTTCTAATTCCCCCAGCCTGTAATACGAAACCACTATCAATGGGCTGTCACCCTGTACCATATGTGCAAATAGAAATATATGAGGAGAGAGGAAGTGCTTATGCCCGTGGTGCAACTGGGCTGGGGGAGGGAGGAAGAAAGCAGACAGGAAATTATATTTATACGGCGAGGAATGGTGAGGATTCTGAATGGGATGCGCCATCACTCATTGTCTGCTGTATCCCTGGGCTGGCTTACGGGTGGATATGAGGCACAGTCAGCTGCTGGATCCATTAGGTCCTGGCTTATCAGTTCTAGAGCTTTCGAACTTAGGAATTAATATTGGGGTTTTAGCCTGGGTGAAGGTGGTCAACAATGGAGACAGCTGGGCAGGCAATCCCTAGGTACCACCACCAGCAGCTGTTTTAAAGGAAAGTGCAAACTGTGCTGGAGAGGAGGGGACCCCAAGCAGTGCCAGGGTTAGCACCCCACAAAGTATAAGATTTTATGATACCGCTTTTTAAATTTCTACTACCCTCTCTCTTCTTCCTTCCTGTCTTCTCTCCTGGCCTTTTGACCTCTCCTCAGCCTTCCTTGCTTTTCTAAGGGCCTTTAAATCCCATCTTTTATCTTAAAAAACAACGCCCCCTGGAGCCATTCATGGATCAGCAAGAATGCTTCCTTAACATGCTCCTCAACACGTAATGTGCGCACAGATGTGATGAATACAGAGTCCCAGGCTCCATTCTGCCGGGCAGGGGCCTGCCTTCGACAGCCTGCGGGCGGAGGGCAGCAGCTGGCCACGCTTTACGAACCCGCGCAGTGTGGTGCCTGTCAGCGGGGGTGACTCCAGCGCTAAGTGCGGTTTCAAGAGCACTGTGGACACTGTCATTCCCATGTTCGGGGTTATGAAGGCAGAGAAGCACTTGCTGTGTGTGGAGGAGTTTGAGTCAAAATGCCCTCATGTTTGCCCATCACCATTTCCTTGAGAAATAATGGAAATATCCTTGTGTCCGGACCAACCACCCAGAGATTATAATCAGGACCCAGACGTTGGAGGCAAAACAAGTGAGTTTGAGGTGCTGGAGCTTCCAGGGATAATTAAGCTGCCTTCGGTGCTGATGAAATCTTGCTGTTTTAAAGGTCACAGGAGTAATGTCAGGGTTAGGGTACATTTATAAAGGAGCAGAGTAATTTTAAGGGTGGGGGGAATGCCAGCTTCTTAGAGTTTTCTTATGCATTTTTATTGCATAAAAAATAAAAGCTTTGTAACGGGCAGGGAGAGGTCCTATTTGCCAAAGTGACCCTTTTTGCACTGAAGGAGCTTCTTGCTGGGGGGAGGCTAACCCTCTCTGTTCTATGTTTGCTCTAAGTCTAGTTAATGTGGAAGCCTGAGCCACCTGCATCCTGCCAGGCTCATCTAAGAGTGTGAAATTCCACAGGATATTATTTCAGCTCAGTAAGAAGTACTTTTCGAAAAATTAATTTTCAAGATAGTTTCTTTTGCCCCATAAATGGAATCCATAGAGGTTGAGAGACAGATACTTTCCTTAGAGACAGAAAATAAAAATATTTTTTCAAGGAACGAATTCATATACAAATATAGCCAGGGACTCACTATTCTGGGTGCTGAGCCTGCAAAGGTGTATGTAATAGGGGTATGGCTATTTGGGTAGTGCAGAGGCCTTGAATGCTGGAGTCTCTCCAAAACTCATGTGTTGAAATTCTATGCCCCAGTGTGACAGTTTTAGGAGGTGGGGTCTTTGGGAAGTAATTAGGATCAGATGAAGCCGTAAGGATGGAGCCCTCATGAATAGAATTAGTGCCCTTATAAGAGTAATAAGCGAGCTTCCTTCCTCTGCTCTCTGCCATGTGAGGCTGCAATGAGAAGCAGTCTGCAACCCAGAAGAGGGCTTTCGCAACAACCTAGCCATCCTGGTACCTTGATCTCGGACTTCTAGGCTCCAGACCTATGAGAAATAAGTTTCTGCTGCTTGTAAGCCTGTGGTACTTTGTTATAGCAGCACGAGCTAAGACACGCATTATCACATCAATCCCTAGACTATTACACAAGTTTGTTATGAAACAAGTCTTGCGCTTGTTGACAAGGCAGTATAGATAGACTTAAATTCATTTATCACAAGGCAAGCCTAAGCAATGTTGACTAGGATCCCTTCTTTGCTAGTTGTAACTTTCAAAACACTCCTAAGGCCTGAGAGAGTGGAACACATTCTCCTCTCATCAGTGCCCAGATGGACCCTGCTCGCTGCCTCTGCTGCAGGCAGCCAGGCTTGGAAGGGAAGACATGTCACCTTCTTTCACAAGTGTGATGATTTGTGGCTGAGACGGGAGAGCCTGCTTTCTGAACCACATGCCCCCTGGTGCAGGCAGGCCAAGGCAAGATGAATGGCATTATAAGACAGACATCTGAATGTTTCATATTAAATTAGTCCCACAGAGAACCCAGAGTTCTCATTCCATAAATCACCAAGTAAAATAAACTCCCTCCCAGGTTAGATTGCTGTGACTTTGGCCTGTGGTGTCATAGATAATCTGAGAACAGTTAAACATTTGTCTGAAATAGTAATAATTTTCAGCATATTTACTCAGTGACATGGAGGTGACCCAGACTGATCTCTGTTGCCAGAAACAGCATGTAAATGGGAGTCAGCCAATTTAGGAGATTTCCAAACGAGAGTCACTACTCCTCACCCCCTCCACCTACTTGGAAACTGCCATGAGCTCCTTGAGGAGCTGCTAGGTGCTGGGGGCCGAGAGGAGCAGACCTCACCGCCCTGGAGAGTAGGTGCGAAGGGCACTGACATGCCCATCCCTTCACTACGTTCCATTGCAGCACCACTGGAAACCCACTTTCACCTTGTCTTGCTCTAAGCATCACAGAGCTAGGAAGCACCTTGATTCTACTAAAGCCACATTTCTTTTCAATGACAAAAGTTTATTCTGAGAATAATTTACATATCCTTGGACCTATTCTGGTTCTATTCCTGAGCTGACACTGTAGCTACTGGGGGCATACTAGGATGAAAGGAATATTAGACTGAGGTTTATGAGATCATTCAACTTGATGCTAACTGGTTGGGGGCCCATCTGAGCTCCTGCTTCCTCTTCCATAAAATGAGGAAGGTAGACTCTTCCATCTCTAAAGTCCCACCCAACTTGAAACATCTGATTCTGATTCAGTAGCGAGATATGATTGGGCAGCAAGGACTCCAGGTGACCTTGGGAAGCCTCTCTCTCTGCTTGGTGGGGCCTTTCTACAGGGGTTCACTAGGACCTGCATCCATATCATCTTGAACCTCAGAAACCCAGTTCAAATGTTATCAGAGTGCAGAGGGGGGCCACGGCACAGCTTAGTGGTGGCCAAGGACTGGAGGTGGTACCTCCCAGGGAAGGACCTCTGGGCTTGCTGTCAAAGGCCTGAGTGGAGCCTTTCCTCCTGCCAGGCTGCGCAGGTCCTTTGGCATGAGAATCCAGTAAGCATAGAAAGGAAAGGGCACCAGCTCTGCAGAGTGACTGCACGTGCCAGGCCCCGTGTTGGCCTTCTGCACTGTCGTCTGTTTCATTCCACACTCATGACCACCCCCAGAAATAGGTAGTTTTCCTACTTCCACTTTCATTTTTTACAAATGATAAAGCTGAGCTTCTGAGAGGTGAAATATCTTGCCACCAACCAATAAGCGGCAGGGCTGGTATTTGATTGCAAATCGACTTAACCTCAAAGCCTGTGCTTGTTCCATTATTCGGTGCTGTAGAAATTTCAGGTATGGTTAGTGGTTATTCTAAAGCTGAGTTCACTGGTTGTCTTCAAGGAATAGTTTCACTGTGGTCTAGTCGCTGCCTGCTTGGAAGATTTCCCTGGTGATGGCTGAGTTAGGCAAACTGAGTTACACTTGGATGCTCAACCTGAGGTGGGAGGGCCACTGCCAACGGCATGGGAGAGGCCCTGGCCAGCTCGTCGGGACATAGCAAGCCATCAGCGGTCTCACTTCCTGCCTTAATGGCTGTATTCATCCATGTATTAGCTGTTAGGGCTGCAGTAACGAAGTACCAAACACTGGGGTCTTAAACAACAGAAATTCCTTATCTCACAGTTCTGGAGGCTGGAAGTCCAAGATCAAGGTGCCACCAGGATTGGCTCCTTCTGAAGCACGAGGGAAGGATCTGTTCCGCTCCTGCGCCCTGGTTTCTGGTGGTTTGCAGACATTCTTAGGCATTCCTCGGCTTGTAGAGTCATCACCCAATTTCTGCCTACACTTTCACATGCCATTCTCCCCGTGTGCCTGTCTGTGTCCAGGTTTTCCCGTTTTATAAGGACACCAGTCATATTGGATTAAGGGCCCATCCTAGTCCAGCATGACCTCATCTTAAATTACATTTGCAGTGATCCGATTTCCAAATAAGATCACATTTTAAGATGCTGGTGGGGGAGGTGAATATTTGGGGGAAGGGGGAGCACTTTTCAATTCATAACAATCAGAAACGAAAGTCCTAACCCTCACCCGACAAGCACTTCACGTGAGCACAGGCGCTCTCCGTGAAAGATCACAGTGTTCTTCCCGGGTGGCACGTCTCTCTCCCTTTTAAGTCTTTCTTGTCTCATACTAACACTGGGGTCCGATATTAATGGAAAAACCATTAAAAAAAGCACTATTATCCTATGAGGCAAAGTGAATGCACTCAACTGTAAAAGGAAGACTTATCGATCAAGCTCAGGTAAGCCTTGCTTGTCAGACACTTTGCGGCTAAGGAATGTGTTTTTATTGCCTGGTCAGATAGTTCAGATTTCCGGTCAGTCTTAGTAAAGACCCCTTTTACAACATTGATAAAATTTTATCACAGAGCCATGAAAACAAAATTAGATTCCATAACTCACATCAGACCTTGAAGGGGATGCCTCTATAAATTTTACAAACCTTATCAAGTTTTAATCCACCTATTCTGATAAATATTTTTAAAATAGCAACTTCTGCTGAACTTCATGGATATGCATGTGCGTATATAAATAAGTGTGTGTAGAAAATATTTTCTTTCTCTCCCGCTCTATCTTACAGGAAAGAAAACATTCTTTGCCTATTTGGAAACAGAAGACTGTGACAGAAAGGCCAATTATTTAGATGGCAGAACACTCCGAATTTAGGCAAATCCACTTCTATGAAACAAATCTGTGTAGTTTCTTGAAAAATTTAGTCCTAAAGTGTATCCTTCAAAATGACTGGCTTTTTCATGGGCAGATTTTGAAGAATTACCAACACTGATAAATCAGCTATAAGTCCCTAATAAGGCACTTCATAATTGAGGGTAATGTTAGCCATAGATATTTTGTATCCAAGTGAAATCCTGTCTACATTCCCTAGTTTTTCCAGTCTATAGAGTAGCCTATTGGGGGGAAAAATAATTGCATGTATATTGAGCCACATGTCTTGTCTCCCCAACTAGATGGTAAGGAGGGCTGAGACCCTTGTTTTAATATACTTGGCACAGGGCTGTGCCCATCAGGACCCAGGGATAATGCCCAGCAGTCCCCCTGCCAGAGCAATGCGATGGGAAGATGAGGCTGAGCCACTCTTGTGCTGGACCAGAGACGGACATTACAACCATGCGACAGGCACAGACAGAGGACGTGCTTGATAGGATTTCATGTCAGTCAGTTGTGCAGGAACTGAAACCCTCAGAGTCAGCTGAAACGGAGTTATCGTTGGATAGCCCTTTCTGCTTTTCAGAGGCATGAAACACTTCTCCAAAGTGGGCAAATGAAGTAAATGTCATGGTGTAAACCAGGCCTCTTATATTCTTAAAATATATCTTCGATGAATATACATTTTGGTTTCAAATGCCAAGTTTAAAGAAACATTCAAAAATTATGTGAAATTCCTTATAAATGTATCGACAACATTTAAAACCTCAATAGACTGTCCAAGAGGAGTTCGTAAACTGTTTTGGGTTCAGTCACCCCTTTGAGAATCCTTTGAAAAGCCATAAACTTACAAAACGGTCCTACAAAAAGTGTTTCTTTTGTAACATTCCATGGGGCTCCCAGGCCTACCTGAAAAACATCTGCCAACTCCAAGTAAAGAACTCCTGGTAAAAAAGATCTTTCTGAGTTCCATAATCTTTAAGGTTAGGGGGCCATAGGATTAGCACCCCTCAGTGGAAGAGTTCTCAATCCATGTCAGATGAAGCAGGTTCTAACTTTCACGGTGGAAATATGCTATATCCTATTCAGAAACAATAAACCATGAAGGTTTCTTATCGTCTTTGAGTGTGATTTTTGCATCTATGAATCTTAAGTGAGAAAAGAGAGGGAAATATAAACTACTTCAGTGTTAACTTTGGGAGTTCCTTGGAGAAAGCGCTTATTACCTGGAAGAGAAAAGCCAATTAAGTTGATGTTTCTTGCATTGCAAGGCCACTTGACTTGCTGCTCTTACAGGCGGAAGGGACTACGTGCTGTTTCCCTGCTGTCTGTCGGGAGGATGATCGGGAACGTTGGCCGCCGGGCAGGTCAGCAGAAGAGTGGCCGGAGCCTGCCGGAGGAGCAGGGCCAGCAGGCCCTAGGGAAACAGGATCTCAGGTGGGCACCTCCTGCTGTTTCCACTGCTCTACTTTAGTGCACTTGGCTTTTATATAAGATGGCCATGTTTCCACATGTTCAGGGAACTTTCTGATCATTTTATTCCAAGTTATGTTAGCACTGTACTTCAGTTAACTTAGTCAAAGCTTTCTGTGCCCTCAGTCAGAAATGACATTAAGATGCTTTTTAACTCCCTTTGAGGTGTTGTTTTGAAACCTTCAAACTGTTACATTTTTCTATGAAAATATATTGGATTATAATTTAATGTCACTGTCCTTGGCTAGAGTCCTAATATTAGAAAGGACACTAAGCTGGGAGCCAGAGACACCCTCCAAGGCTGCTCAATCTGTTCTCTGCTTTGTTCCCAGAGCCCAGCACGGTGCCTGGAACACAGTAGGTGCTCTTTCAATCTCTGTTAAATATCAAATGAGGAGCTGAGTTTCAACTCTGGCATGCTTCTGACTACCCATGGGACATTTATTTTCTCATCTGTAAAATGAGAATAACAATTTTTGAATAGTCCTCACAATTAGGCATACACTGTTAGGCAGATATGAAAGAAGTTAAGTACCATTGTATTATCGCAGGGAATGAAAGGGGTCACAGCCACAGAATTCAAAATAGGTGGTTTTCATTTTGTAGAATTTTAATGCTATATTAAAACGAGCGGAGCCACCTCATCCGCGCCTAAATGCATCAAAAGGCTGAGCTTTCTCTCACTCCTGCTTAGGACCCGCGACACCTCAGAGTGGCCTTGTGGCCAGTAGGGAGGGGTTATGACAGTCGTGGAAGTGAGAAGGGAACTTCAGGTCCCCAGCAGGGGCGGGGGAGGCAAAGCTGCTGTTGAAAGTTAGTAAAAATGATTTTAAAGGTGCTGCTGGCATATGTTTTGGGGATTGCGGTTTACTCAGGTATCCGAGAAGCGAGGAATATCCAAACCCAGAGGAGACGGGCATCACTTGTCCACGTGACGTATGCACAGAATTCCTGTCGGCGCTGCCCGCGAGCTGGGCTGCCGCTGAGCGACAGTCCCCACTGTCGCCGCCCCGCCGGCCTCGCCCAGGCGCTGGCTGGGGAGCAGCCCAGGGAGGAGCGGGTGCCGCGGAGAAGCGGGCCAGGGAGCGGACCTTCCTATTCAGAGGCACGCGGCCGTCGAAAAATATTTGTTGAGTGAATAAGTGAATGGTGATATAAAACATAACATTTGCAGAGGGAAATGACTGCAGTTTCCTACTTTGGGGCACTCTTCTAGGGAGCTTGGGGAAGAGAGCGGTAGACCTGGAGTTCGTAAGGAAGGCATGGCCTCTGCTATACTCAACAAGTTGGGCGACCCTGGGAAATCGCCCTCTGAGTCCTGAATATAGGCTGATAAATATCCGATTTATCATCAGAAGACTCTCGAGTTGTAGAGACACTGGATTCTGACAAGGGCAGAGTATAGCACATGTTGAGATGACTTCAGAAATGTGACTGAGTTGATCTCTCTTGGGGCCCCAGGAGAATGTCAGTGTCACCTCCGCTGTTACCCGCAGTCATCGGAAGGGGAAGGGTGGCCCGCAGGCGGGAGCACAGGTGCTGGAGGCGGTGGGCGTTAGCTAGGAAGTCACCTGCCGCATGGCAGGCACCTTGCTACGTCTTTTCATTCATGAGTCTGCTTAGTCCTCACAAGTAGGATTGGCCCATTTTGCAGATCTGGAAACTGAGGCACTGTGATCTCACAGCTGAGAAGGGGCAGGGTGAAGCCTGATGCTGAAGGCATGGGCGCTGACCCCCTGCACTAACTGTTGCCTAGCTGCTCATGTGAGAGTATCTATTTATTGTGCACCTTCTGTGGGCTAAGTACTTGTTTGATCCAGTTCAATTTGACATTAAGCAGATAACCCTTCTTTGTGTCAGGAGAAAAGAAAGGGCACAGAAAAGGGGGGAAAAGGGAACAGACGAGTACAAAGAATAGCCTACTTGTTCCTTTGATTGAACTCTGGAGAAACAACATTTTTTTTTCCTTGCTACCACTCTCTGAGCTTCTGGAATCTCTCTATCTGTTCTCTGTTTGAACTTGGGAAAATAGAAAACTTATATTTTCTCTGTTCCCGGAGCTTTCGGAATCCCAAAACATTTGGTTTAGATTAAATCCTCTGACCGAGGCATCATAATTCGACTTCAATACAGATGATCCCGTCACCCGCCGCCTTATCTAACCTCACGGCTTATTACAGTAACAGAGTACACTGGCCCTGGCAGGGGTGGGGCTGGGGGTGGAGAGGGTCACTCAGGTTTAGCAGCCACATGTACGCAGCAGGGTGGTGTCCTTCTCAAATCAAAAGGAGTAGATTCATAAAACCCAATCAGGAGCATGTGTGTGCATATAAGCCTTTTTTTTTTTTTTTTTGCCTGAATCTAAATTATAGAGATTTTAATAGCTTCAGTAATTAGACAAGTATGCAGTCAGCCCCATTATGTTCCTGTGTAATATCACACTCCCCAGGGCCCAGCTTCCCTGCTTGCTGGGCTCCCTGCATGGGCCCCCTTCCCCCTTATTTTGTACCACAGGGAAGCAGTTTTCTTTTCAAAGAGCTCACTGTTCACATTGTTTTTGTTCCCTCGATCTGGAGGTTGGATTTGCTTTCTCAGGGGTTTCACCATTGCATTGCCCAGTTGTGTAGCAAAAGGACAGCTCGGCGTCTGGCCTATCACGTGCATCCCCCACCATGCACAGGGCACACTGGGGGTGGCACAGCAGATGCCACAATGGCGGAGAAGGCACTCAGCGTGACGACTGGCACAGAGCAGACACTTCAAAATGTTTACACCTGAGTCTCTTTAACAAACTCTTCACCGTTTAATTATTGACCTTAAAGGAAGCAAAACGCAACATTCACTGTCTTAAATCATGGTCTCTTTTTATTTTTTTTATTTATTTATTTTTTTTATCATGGGCTCTTTTTTGTACAAAACTGCCTCCCTACCTCCCTGACTACCTCTCATTATTTTTCTCTCTTGTTTTGTAACTTTCTATTTTCCGTAGTGATATTTCACTTTATCAGCACAGATCATCTCCCTGCAGGTGCTGAGGGCTATATCTGGAGATATATGGGACATCTTGGAGTTTTCTTATTGTTGTTTCCTCTAGAGCTACAAAAAAATCTCTTGGTGATTTGAAATTAAGGACAGGATGAGCTGTATTATTAAAATAATGCAGTTTAATCAAGAGATTGACGTTTTCCAAATGTAGACACATATTTTCCTGGGGGCTGTCAGAGAGCGGCTTCATTGCCATTTATTTTTATGAAGATATTCCCAAAGAAAAAAATGTCTGGAGCTTAGTATCCTGAGGTCACCTTTTTCTATCCAGTCCCCCCACCTCAAAACAAAACAAAACAAAAAAACACACCAAAAAAACAAAACAAAACAAAAAGAGACAAAAATCTGAATTAACTATCTTTCCTTCACAAGGATCTGAAAACTGTTCCCTGAAAGCAATTCCAGAAATCTACTAATTTGGCCTCCAAACCACTTAGAAAAGGAAATAAGTAGCATACAATG